ACTTCCCGTTGACCCCTTCTCAACATCATTATTCTTTCTGTAGAAAATGTTAAAGCTGTAATGAAATGCTTCTTCTAAAAAATTTTAAAAAATTTTTTTGATACTTTGTTATCTGTCCAGTCTTAGACTTGCATTGCTTATTTTGGAAGTTTTGGGTTGTCTTTGTTGCCTTCTTTTGGTTTCAGGTCCTACTTGGTAAAACTCTTAAATTGCACCTCACACAGGAGGGAAAGTAGCAGTGTCCTTACTTAACTTTGGCATTGTGAGCTTTTAGTGTATCAAGCTCGTTAGCCATTAAAGCAAGCAACAATAGATAATGCAGAATCAGAAAGGAAGAAGAGGCCCTTCTCTTGTGCATTTCAGTGAGAAACATTTAAGAACTTCCTTTTAGTTTTGCTTAACTGTTAGATTAATTTGCCTCACACTAATTTTTGGCCTGAGGAAATCTGTTCTCTGGCCTTTTGGAATTTTTCTACACAGAGGCCAAGCCCTGGCCTCTTCTTTCTCAGAGCTATCTTTCAACTTTTACAAAGACAAGATCTTGGCATGAGATCCTGCTGTGACACATATATTGATGATGATTTACCAGAAAGTGCACTGCAAACATGAGGATGGTTCATGTGATGCTTTGCTCACCAAGAAAGCCTGGTGATTGGTCAGTCAGGCTTTCCCTTGGGCCAGAAGATTTTGGCACATAAAAATCTAATGAAATAATTCTGGAGAGGGCTGCCAAGTCAGTATTTAACTATCACAGGTTAAAAAGGTATCAGAAAAAACAAAAGGATAAGAACTTAAAGCATTTAGAAGATTGTTTCTTATAATAAGGCAGTCCTGAAACTCATAAACACTGCCAGTTAAGGCTCCTATTTATTGAACTCCTGATGTGCTGTGTCAGGGCCTGCATGGATATTCTCGTTACTCTTCACAACAGCTTTGCAGGATGGACTGGTTTTTGTTGGTTGTTTTTTTAATCACCATTTCACAGATTAGGAAACAACCTCCAAGGATTTATGTGCATTTGCTTACTTAGTAAGTGGCAGAGCTAAGATTTGTATCTGATTCTATCATCTACATTAGGCATGTGATTTTAAATGGGATATTTGGAAGCCCATGATAAAATGCTTAAGTAAATGGTAGCAATAATTATTCTGTTCAGTTATATTGCCTCTCACACCATAATATATCACATACCTGCGTTTTTCAAATTATCTCTGGTGTTCAAAGGGTTTCTGTTGGTCTTTTAGCTTAAGTATACGCTTTTTGTGTCATTATTTCTTCCTCTTTATTTTTTCTGTAGTTGCCTTAAAATCCTCCTCTGCTGACAGAAATGGAGGCCAGGATAAGTATAGAACACAACTCAGAGATGGTCTGGACTTGCAAGAAGGAGAATACTTACTACAGGTAATCTAGTAAATACAGTTCCTTCCAAGGACAGTTGCCAATAAATGGAAATTCATGAGCCAATCTTTGAATTGTTTCAAATTGTTTATCACTGTGCCACTCTTGTGTGAACTGTCATAGTGGTGTTCACTAGCACATGGCAGATGGACTTATGGGAAGCAGGTTTATCAGAGGTCTGGTCATTCTCCATGCTGAATCTCTTCATGAATCTCTGCACACATTCAAGAATGTAGCTCAAATAAAAAATTAAAAAAGAAAACTGTTCTTGATTTTTATTTTTTAATATATAATGCAACATATATTTTGTTTAGAAACTATGTGTGACATACTAACATGTTTCAGATTTTTCCAACAATAAACTTTCATTCTATGCTTTAGAACTTGAGGTTTTGTTTGTTTGTTTGGTCTTTTTGAGACAAGGTTTCCCTGTAGTCCCAGCTGGCCTGGAGCTGTGTAGACTAGGCTGGCCTTGATCTCACAGAGATCCACCTGCCTCTGCCTCCCCAGGCTGAGATTAAAGGCATGTACCACCACACCTGGCAACTTGAGAGTTTCTAATAGACTTACCAGTGAATTTGTTTTAAAATTATGAATATACATTTTTTTCTCTTAGAACTGATATTATGCTTGGTTCCCACAGCATTATATTTATTTCTTTTGTTGAGATAAGATAGAATGAGCTTGTGCTTGGGCCTTACATGATCATTTTCAGGCCTATCCAGTAAACCAAGTAGAAAAGCTCAGTTTGCATTGTGACTAGTAGCCACTTAAGTTGTGTTAACTCGATTGAGTCATTCAGTCGTTGCTGGAATATAGCCTAATAATCCTCTGTTTTTATTACAGTTATGTAATTATACCCAAATTCCTGAGAGCAAAAATTAACTATGCTTTCATTTTAACTTCTCAAAAGTTAAACAAATTGTATATATTCAGTCATAAGTCTTCTACCTCACCCTTAGCTGAGGATCTATGTGTATGTGTGTGTGTGTGTGTGTGTGTGTGTGTGTGTGTGTGTGTATGTGTGTGTGTACACTAAAACATAGACATAAGTGATCACTTAACAAAATACATCAAGTGCCAACTGAATTTAAGCAAGAAATAAGAAATAGTAAGAACTTTAAAAAAGAACTTTAAAAATATATAACGGTGGATAGTTAAATTGAGTGCAGATATTTTTGTTATCCAAGGAGAAAGTAAAGCTATGAATTAACATTGAACTTAAATAAACACTAATGGAATGAAAAAAAGACTAAGTTCCAGGCTATGAAAAGGAAAAAGCATAGAATATTAATAATAATTGGGCAAGTGGAAGAGGAAAAAATATGGTGCCAATAAAGAAAATAGAAATAAATAGCACATGTAAGATAATATATTTAAACATGAATATGTTCATAAACAGATTAGATGTTAATGAATATATGTATTTGCTACATATCTTGTGTATTATATTTGAATTCCTTATATATTTTATGTGCATTATGTGTTCCGATAAAAGTCTTGATGTCTTTATAATTCTTTGAACCATCCAAATTTTACATTTTATTAGTGCTTGAAATATTTTTGTACAAACCAAAATATTCTACCTCGTTTTCCAAACTTAGCTGTCTAATGAGTGTCAGTTCCTGCCTTCTTCCTCCAAGAAAAAAGTGTAATTGTATTGGATGATTTCTTCACAGCTGAATTTTAGCAAAAAGTAGATGCAACACATTTGAAAGAAGAAATCTAAAAAGTAAAGAAAAAAGAATATTCTATTAATATGACTCTGGTTGAACTTTAAATTTAGATGTAAGGTTTTCCTCAGCCAAGTAAGAGGTGGGACTGTATCCTCACCATTCTACAGGTATGTGGTGTGTCTGTTTGCTAGGTATAATAATTTTAATCATTTTGAAGAGATTTTCAGGAATAAAAGTAACAATCTTTACCTAAGAGTCAATGTTTGTCACAGTTTTTCAAATATTTTTATTGAATTTTTGTAATTGTCATACAGTACAGTCTAATGACATTTAGATCCCCTTCCCCATCTGCACCTCCCCCAACTGCCTCCCACCCCCACCACCAATTCTTCAATACATCTCTCTCTCTCTCTCTCTCTCTCTCTCTCTCTCTCTCTCTCTCTCTCCATATATATATGTACACACACACAGTATGGCCCATAGGGTCTTACCTGTGTTCCCACATGTCCCCTGTCATGGGTCCATCCACTGGAGCCAGATCAGCCCACCAAGAGTCCCATCCCTGTAGGAGACTGTCTCTCCTGCTCCCAGCAGCCATCAGTTGCCAGAAGTTCCTTAGGTTGGGTTGGAATTTCTTACATCCCCATGTCTGTGTTGGGATTTTGTCTGGTTTTAGATTCCATGGGACTTGTGCATGCTGTTACCATTACTGTGAGTTCATATGTGCATATGACCAGCTGTCTGGAAATCTGCCTCCTTGTGCTCACCCACCACCTCTGGCTCTTACAATTTTGCACCCCCCCTCTTCCACAATGAACCCTGAGTCTTGAGGAGCAGAAGTTTGAAATAGGTGTTCTATTCAGGAATGAGCGCTCTGCAGCCTCTTGTTCTCTGCACATTGGCCAGTTGTGCATTTCTGTATTAATCACTATCTGCTGCATAAGGAAACCTTTCTGGTGAGAGCTGAGAGATGCATTCATCTTATGTGTAGAAGTTGCATTGAAAATGTGTCACTTAGGGCTAGGCATCTCAGACACTTAATTCTCTGCATTTGACCAGTTGTGGAACGCTGTAATAGTCTCCATCTGTTGCAAAAAGAAGCTTCTTTTCTGAGTGGTGGGGGGGTATACTTGTCTATAAATGTAAGAATGCGTATTTGAAATACAGTAAAAAATTACATTAGTCTAGGAATGTGGCAAAAGGTTTTTCCCTAGGATCTATGACCTCATCAGCCATTATGTTTATGGCTATGTTTACAGTACCATATATAAGTTCCTTTCCATTGAGTGGGCCTTAATTCTAATTAGACAGCTGTTGATAACCTCCAAGATAAAAATGCCACTACTGCTCTACTAGCAGTAGTTTGCTGGGCCAGTGATTGTTTATTAGGCTTTACAGCTGGGTAGGACTATTGATTGGTTTTTCTCCCTTGGCAGTTTACATAGCATCCTCTGATACCATTGAGAGCTAGTCTTCAGGGAGGAGGCTTCCAGGTCAGTTCCAGCTCTATTGCTCCAAGTCCTGTGTCTGAAGTATGGCCTGTCTTCAGCAATAGGATCTCACCTTCAAATTCTGGGAGGCAATCAAGGGGCTGTGGCAATATCCTGTGTTTCTTGGGGAGTCTCTTGAATTACCCTGACCAGCAACTCAAAGGGAGATTTCTCCTGACTGGCACTGTGTTTTTTTGCTATATGACCTTCAGCTATACATAGTTACTCATATATATATTGTATGTGTATTTTTCAATAGGACTTTGTACTAATATATTTCCCTCTGGTTTTCATATCATGCAAGCATTATTTCTCCCTTCATTCCCCCATATAGCCCCCCCTACTCCTTCCCCAGCTAAAACACCTCCCTTTCCCCATTTCCCCCTTGATAACACCTGTCTCATACTATCCCCCTCTTGAGCTCCTTTCCCCCATCGTTCCCTTCCATTTCCCTGGCTCCTGTGATTTTATCAGGATATATACTCACATCTAAGGATTTGGAGTTAGGATCCACAAAGGAGAGAGAAGATACTCCATCACTTGTTTTTCTGAGTCTGTGTTATCTCACTTAGTATAACAGTTTCTAATTCCATCCATTTGTCTGCAGATTTCATTATTTCAATTTTCTTTATCCCTGAGTAGAACTCTATTGTGTAAATGTACAACATTTTCATTATCCATTCATCAGCTGATGGACATTAAGGTTGTTTCCATTTCTTAGTGTGAAGAAAACAGCAACAAACACGGGTGTACAAGTATCTCTGTAATAGAATGAGTCCTTTGGGTATATGCCCAAAGGTGTAGCCAGGTCATAGGGAAGATGTATTTTTAGTTCTTTAAGCATTCTCTGTACTGATTTCCACAGTGGTTGCACCAGTTTGCAATCCCAGAAGCAATGGATGAGGATTCCATGAGTAACAGTTTTAAGCTCCGTCATTTACTTTACATCATTCTTTACTTGTAGGCACTCAATGGCTTTGTGTTGGTTGTCACAACTGATGCTTTGGTCTTTTATGCTTCTTCTACTATCCAAGATTACCTGGGATTTCAGCAAGTGAGTATACTTATGTCATTTAAAATGACTTTTTTTTTTTTTGCTTTAAAAATGAACTTTTTTTTACTGTTCATCTATTTTATAACTTAAGAGCAAAGTTGACCCTTTGTATATGTAAAACATTGATTAAAATATGTGATATAAGAATACAAAATACATTTTCAGCTAGTGCATTTTTCTGATGTTGATAATTTATAGTTCTGGTACTTTGGTTCATGGCTGTTGTGTTTCTTCATGCATTTACCCATGCTCTCGTATGTGCAAGAAACTTTCGGGAGGCTACAGATGTCGCTCTGCTGGCTACATTGGGTTCAGTCATCAGTATGGTAGGGGGAGAAATAGAGAGAATGAGAAACAGGAATATTTAGGTATAAGGAGTGTTTAGGAATGCCAGCAGGTAGCATTTAGAGAAGCAGTCAGAGCATTTGCCGTCAGGTAACACAAGCCAGAGCACACAAAACATTTGGGAAATTATGAGTGCTATGAGAAGGCACATGTAAACTACTGTGGTTTCTACTGTTAATTCTGAATGCTGTGGCTTGTTTATGGAGAGTACCATGAAAGAAGTACATGGTGCCTGAGCTGTACAGTGCTCAGGTAGTGGATGAAGGAGCACACGGGAAGAGAAAAGTACTGCTAGCCATAGACAGGAGGTCCCTGGAGGAGGCGAGGGTTCAGCACAGCTTTAAGTGGATACTGAGGTAAAGGAGTTGTGAAGCATTTGGCTTGTTTGAGGGACAAGAGCATCTGATAATGATCTGAGAACAAATTGTAAGTACACTTGAATGCTTGCTTTTCTTATGTCTGGTTCTAACATAAGCATCACCTGTAACACTTGATAAAATCTTTGGGCTCCATTCCCAGATAATCCAATTCAGTAGGTCATAGTGTGGGCCATGAGTTTGCATTTCTGTGAATCTCACAAGGCTGCTGGTCTGTATAGCACAGGCTGTGGAACACATACAGAAACCAGTTTTTACTACACCATATACACAGTTTAAAAATCTACTGATGGTTTCTGTCTAAGAGAAAGTGCATGGTTCTATTTCAAATCACTCTGATAATTATGTCATTGATCCCACAGAGATAATTTAATACTAGAAGATTAGGTTTCTAGGGAGACAGTGGTAGATGATTAAAGTGATGGAATTTGGCTAGTGCCACAAAATCTAAATTTTAATTTTTTTATTAAAAAAGTATATTGTCTATAGAAAAGCCTGTTTGAAGTTTAATGAATTACTTACTTTTATGATTTATATCATGTAAGAAAATCTAAGAGATTAGCTGTGTTCCAACTTATTTTTCTATATATACTCATTCTGTGTATTTTTTAAAAAGATATTCATACCTGATATGGATAGTAAATTAAAACTCCATTTTTAAAGCTTATAAGTTGCCACCCATTAATGGGTAGTAGTTTGGGTGATGGAGTGAGTCAGAGTCAAACTTTCGATTTCATTGCTTAGGAGAGAATCATGTAAAATAACACAGAACATACAATATCATCACACATAACAGTGTGACATGGAACTTTTTTGCATATATATATATGTGTGTGTGTGTGTGTGTGTGTATAATGTATGGAAAATATGTTTCAAACCATAATTTCAACCAAAGGAAAAGCTAGAAAAACTCTTAAAGTCTAATTACTGAGTCCTGAAGTAAAAGCTTCAAGGCACAAGGAGGGAAGATTCTGACTGAGTAAGGCTGGGTCACTTATTGTGGAGGCTACTTGGAAAGAAAATTTAGTATGAAGAAAATGTTGATGGAACAGTGAAGGAAAATACAAGTTACATGTTAAGATTAGAGAAGACAGAGGACTAGGTGCTGATGAAAGGATTTGTGGATGAAGTTGGATTTAAAAGGTCATAAATGGCATGGCGTGGATAAGGAATATAAGCAGATCTTAGTAATGTACGTTCGGGGAGTGGGGAGGTGCACCTGTGAGCCAGAATGTTCCCATCAGGAACTGACGGCAGATAACTCAGTTGATCCGTCACAGTGCTGATTTCCAGCTTTCCCTGTATGGGTGACTGAGGGGCTTTGCAAACCAACTTGGGTCCAGTTCATCTCCTCTAGCAGGCACCTGCTGATCTAGACAGGTTTTCAAACTGCATGATTAAACCCATTTTAATCACTAGTTTTATTTCCTTGTGTTACTTTTCTTTAGTCTGATGTCATTCATCAGAGTGTATATGAGCTTATCCATACGGAAGACCGAGCTGAATTTCAGCGTCAGCTACACTGGGCTTTAAACCCCTCACAAGGCACAGGCTCTGGACAAGGAGTGGATGGTAAGAATGCTCACCAAAGGACGGTGCTGTTGTGTTTTGAATATTCTTTTGTGAAAGGAGTCTAAGAAGCTTTAGGGTATAGACCTCTACGGTGAAGGAAGGGGGCAAGTAGGAAGATGTGAGTCTGGATCTGTGAATCAGAGCCAGGTACAGACGATGATATACTAAAGAGGATATAGCAAAGGAGAGCCATGAGGAAGTTAATACATCATAAAATTGACATTGTAGTAATAGGTGAATTTGTGTATATGCATATTCATGTGGTGTGTGTGTATGTGTGTGTGTGTGTGTGTGTATGTGTGTAAGCCAAAGATCATCAACCTCAAGTGTGTCACTCTTCTGGAGTCATCTACCTTATTTTTTGAGACAAGGACTCTCATTGGTCATGAGCTTGAATGACCAGGCTATGTTGGTCTGAGCCACAGGCTTCTCCTGTCTCTATTTCCTCCTGCTCAGATTACAAGCACATGTTTCCATACTTGGCCTTAT